TATATATAAAAATATATCACACCTCAGAACTTCCAGGAGGGAAGAAGAGACAGAGGCCTCCCAAGTAACAGTCAAGACAGGAAGAGGTGGTTGAACCACAGATGGAGCCCAAGGGAAAGAAGGGATAGAAAATAAGGGAGAAACATTCACATTTTGGCTTGCAAGGAGGCAGAACTCAGAGAAGAGCATAGAGATCTGCTGTGAAAGTATAATGGAATTAGTAACCAGTCATACTCAACAGGAGCTTCTTCTAAGATTGCTTCATTTGATATCAAGCCAGAACCTAAATTAAAATTAATTCAAAACAAAACAAACCCTCACAAAAAGAAACTGCACCCAAGAATACACAGGCTCCCTTTGGGGTGGATGGCAGGGTGTGCTTCTGCTTCTTTAAAAGTGTATATACAAACATGCAGCTTTCAAGCCATTTCTCCCTTCCAGAAGCCCTAAAAGTTTGGGCTCCAAGTGAATTCAATTAGCAAAAGGAAACATGAATACCACCATTCTTGTTTTCAAAGCTCATTTAGTTATACTCTGTCCACTAAGAGCTCCTGACAGCAGAAGGCTCTATCACTGGAAAGCTGTCATGTGAGATGTCTGCACAATGCTTGGGTGCCAGAGCTGAACAGAATAGGCCCCCATTCCACAAGCAAGATTCTGAAATAAACAGCCGTGGGTTTTTCTCTTTTTTTTTTTTTTTTTTACCTTTTTTTAACTAGGCACACACAAACCTGTCTTCAGCTGCTAACCTTAATATATTACTCATTCTTCCTTTCAAATAACGTCATGTTCAAAACTCCAGTGACTGCAGAATATTTACTCGAGGCTGCTACTGCTGGTTTCTCTAGAGCTGTTTATTTTTCCATGCATGAGCTCATTACATCACTCTGTGGTTTTCTTAAAGGTTGTCAGGGTAAGCTGGGTACAGGCTGGAATCTCTTGCTAACTAAAACCAAATCACTAAGTAGCACAAATTGGGATTTGGAGATAACCCAACTCTGGAAATGAGGAACAACTATGTATTCCCCAGTGGATACGTGCAGGGTGCTCCCAAACAGACAGCTATTAGATATATTTTCTTAGAAGTGAGATACATGTGTTTCCCTAGATTAAAACCTGTAAAAGAATAATCATTTGGACTGTGCCAGGCTGCAATAGGTTGTGGGGAGGAAGCAGGAAAGTAGGAGGCTGCAACACTGTAAGCAGAATGAAAAGACTGTTTGCAGCCGTGCCGATTAGAGAATGGCCATTGCAAAGGTCCCGTCTGTATCGCCTCCTGCTCTGGCAGTGTTAAAAATAAACAACATATCACAGAGGGCAGTGCTAAATAACACGCTTAGTTTGGGGTATCCATGTGGGTGGGCATGTTTGGGGAAGGTGAAAATCAGTTCAGAACAAAAAATGGCAAAAATGTTTTTGTCATCTTGCCACAGCAAACAAAATACTGTGTTGATCTAGATCTTTCACTTGTCCTGAAAAGGAAAACTGACTTTTGGGCTTTTAGGCTTCATAAAGGCAGAAGACTTGGTTTGTAAAAGCAGAAAATCAGTAACTTTTCTGCTACCCAACAGCCCAGATGTTAGAGCATGTTCATATTTTGGTTCCTGCCCCTGGCTGAGAAGATTTGAACCCGCATCTCACCCTACTGAGAAACAGATCTAGGCATCATTTCATTATTTAAGGCAGGCAGGGGTAAGAGCACTAGCAATCCCTCCTAGCAATGCTGCTTTACTTAGCATAGAAAAAATCCAATGGCAAAATGCCTGGAGACATACAGATTCTCAGTCAAGTGCTCTATCACCAGGCTAAAGTCATTCTGCTTTTCCTGATCCCTAGCTTGATTAGTATTTACGGATGTCAAGCAAAATATAAATGCTCCAAAAGAAAGGACTGTTTCAGGAGAACCTCTTCTGTTTGTCAACGCTAAACGGAAGGTGGAACACTCAAGATGACAAATGCACCTCTTACAAGATACCGGCTGCGTATGCAACACAGGTATTCTGGGGTACTCAGCTGCTTGGTGGCTGGTTCACTCTGAAGCCTAACATTGACCAGAGACAGTGATGGCAAATTATAGACGCTGTTTTTCTCTGTATAGCAATTCTTAAATTCTCCTCATGGTTGGTATGGTGATGGTGCTAGCGTTCCAAGATTTCTGACATCGCTGCTGATTAGAGAGCAGCACATGGTATCTGACAGTACTATCGATCGGATTTCTCTTCACTGCAAAGGACAGGGCTTTACAACTACCGCAGGGAGGAGAGAGATCAGGGTTAAGTGTTTCAGTATACAAACTCCAAGGAACAGGGCAGGCTTTCAAGAACTCAAGACTAATGAAAGAACAGAAACAAAAGAAGAGTAAGGCTGGACATAACCAAAATAAAAAATTCTGAGATTGAGTTCAGATAGCAGAGCGGCTTCCTATGGGAAGAAGTGAAATCTTTCTTGCCTAAAGCATTTATGCTACACTAGAAAATGCTGCTCTTCATGCTGTAGAGAGACACTCGCTAGCCCTAAGGCAGTAGGTTAGACGACCTACTAGGTCTTTCCTCACTGCTAATTTCAGTGATCGTGTTAAATTGCTGCAAGGGGATACCAGGCTGTATCTGCTTCAAGACAGTAAGCGCAAGCTCAGAGAAACAATATACCAAAATGAAAAATCCAATCTTGCACAAATAAAACTTACCTTGACCCTTTAAAGATAAATGAAAAATCAGGAATGTGCTGAGCATTAATATTTCAACCTGACAAGGAACAAAAGCAATTAAAAACATCCCCTAATTTAGCATGCCCATCTCGTGACAGCTGTTTCATCATCTTTACCCAAGACAAGCCAATGACTTGAAGACATTTGAAGAACCTGATTCTTAGTGGTAATTATCCTCCCCAGCTCTTTGTTGTCCAATTCCACTTACCCTGTGTTGCCTTTTAACATATATGACAAGAAATGTATAGGAAAGGAATGAAAGGTAGCAAATAAGGGGACCAGGCTCCACTGGTGGAAAGAAACAGGCTAAAAGTAGCCCACATCTACTATCAACTAAACCATAACCCTATTTTGATGTGGCAGCATTTCTTGATATCAATAATTTGGTATAGGAAACTGAGACAGCTATATATATGGCCTAACGTGGAAATCTGGGGCTAAAAATTGGCAACCAGAATCTTAATGAGATCCTACAGCAATTGAGTGTTTGTCAGGGCACTCAGTACGGCTGAGTCAGATGAACCACACACCTCCTTTTAGCTTGCTGTAGAAACCACTGCTTATGGAACTCTGGAATTTTCCAGAAGATCATTTTCAATTTGTACCATGCACCCACAATAATCTTGTTTGAATAACAGAAATGACATCAGAACCAATTGGAAAAAAGTGGACAAATAAACTCACAAAAGGAACTCTTCCATGAACAACAATCCAGTTTACACCAGGCAGCTCCCTGAGGAAACACTCAAACAAACCCACTGCCTTTACAACATGAAAGCCATGATACTTTGGCTCTGCTGGGCCAAACAAGGGTGAGAGACAGGCTCTCAAGTAAAAGACCCTCCCCACTCCCACGTCCCTTTGTAGCCTCCTAGAATACAGATCAAAGAACTCTTGTTTCCATTGCAGCTATCAGGTTTGCTGAATTAGGAGGAAAGTTGGTCTCGAAGATATGTAAGACACATTACATAAGATTTTAATATTAAACTGTCACCTTCAATTGCACTGCAACCTTCTGGTTGTCCCAGCAGCTCACAAAACACAACCTACATTTGCAGTCCCACAAAAGACATCCTTAAAGAAGGATGCTGATACTCCTGCATCATCTGAAGCTTCCCACTGGCAGCTCCTACACAGACCACCCTGCTGCAAAACCAGTCAGAAGGCAGGGTACAGGAGACTGCTGCTAAAACTGAGACCTGGGCAACAATGGATGTCCTCCTGCTAAGAGCTCTCCTCCACTCTGCAGGAAGAGAATCTCACCTAACCTAGCATTGATTTCACACTGCAGTTGGGAAGTGGTAGAGGAAGGTTAAAGGAACTGCTGAGTGCCACAAATGCTCTCTGACTAATCCAGAAATACCCAGTGATGAGATACTTCAGGCTATCACAATTTATTTGCTCAGGGGACTGGAGTTCTTCCCAGAACAGCTGCTCTAGGCAATATATGCAATAGTAGCAACTCCTATTTAAACCTTAAAGCAAACCCATGGCTTCTTAAGGCAATATTCTTTTGATACTCCCTTTACCTTCGTCCTTTCTCCCACTTCAGTTAAAATACATCAGATAGAAATCATTCCTACCAAGAATCCTAACTTTCCTCTTCAGATTCTTCCAGTTTTTCGGGATTTCAGTGACCCCACACAGTTTCACCCCCACGAAATCTCAAGTTTTACATCCTAACTTCACATCTTCCTTCTCCCCCTTTTCCCCTCTCTTGTTCAGGACCTTTTCTTTGCTGTTTTTTTTTTTTTTTTGCTTAGGTCTTCCCTCATCCACTTTATTACCTACAAAAATAATCTCAACATTTATTTAGGCCCAGGCATAAGTAAACTAGTTTCAGTTGCAAAATAGTGAAATAATCCACTCGCTTCTCTATCAAAACATCTTTTCTATCTGCAGAGAAGAATCTTGAAATTGCTACAAAAGAAGCCCCTCTGTATTTCCTCAACTGCTTGCACCAAAACCACAGCCCAGATCTCAGAACTAAACACATCAGTTTGTACATCCATGAAAGGCAGCTGGCTGGGATGAATTAACAGATGAAGAAATTAGAGATTCGCCAATTATGGTTTGAGGAAACGGAAACATCCCTCATCATACATCGACTGCGGCCTTCGGGACACAAAAAAGGATGCTACCAGAAATTATTTTATAGCCTGCACTTCAGGTCCTGCAACAATGAAAAGCAGCGGGGTAACTACAATGAAGAAAGAATGAAACAAAAACAGACTGTGAGGGACTGCAGCCTAGTTAAAAAGAAACATGTATTTTTTTCCAGAGGGAACATTACCTGAATTCCTTATGCTGGAGCTGTTCAGTTTGGAATCTTTGATGACCAAGTGCTTAATCCAAAGGGTGGGTGCTGTGATTTCTGAAAGAGAGAAAAATAACCGCCTTAGAGAAGCTACAGCAACTAGTGAATACACATTGTTGTTATTCATGAGGACAAGATGTTTGCTACAATCCTGCCTTAACTGATCCATCATATTTGTAGGGATGGGCTCATCCCCTGGTGAGGTCTTCCACCACTTATGATCCAACCTTATGGAAGATTTACAAATAGTATCTCACTATTTTTCCATTCCAAAAAGTACTTCTCTGCTGGCAAAACCTTTTTTTTTTTTCTCCTTCTACCCCCACTTCCCAGACTCTCAAGTCTAAAGCCTTTCTCCTTAAGACTTAGAGATCTCAAAGTTTATGTTGTGTCCTATAGTATATGTTGGTTTCCACTACAGTATGCGCGAAATCCAGATTTTAAAAGGCCTTAAATATTGCTTTAACAGCCCAAGAAAAGATGACCACAGTCAGTTCCCAAAAAACAAGCAACAACAAAATCTGAAATAAATAGGCAGCAATCCTGCTTAGCAGGGAAGTTGGACTAGATGATCTCTAGAGGTCCCTTCCAACTCTGTCAAATCTGTGAATCTGTGAAATGAAGATATTTCAGTAAAAGATGTTAGAGAAACAAGTTCTGGTAGAAAAGCACATCTGATGCACTACAACCAGACATCCAAATATAAATTAGGGGGAAAAAGTGCTAGAGCACTTCCTCTTAGTTGTTCAAATCAATTTCAAAACACAGCAGAACCTGCCCTAAGTCACAGAAATGACACAGCATCAGCATTTGATTAGAATTGAGCAAAGCAGTACTTGGTACCACATGCCAGAGCTCCTAAAGTGACATTTCCAGAACTGATGTTTTCTGAAAAATTTTTGGTTTCCACAAGAGCATGCTTTAAATACTAAATCCTGGAGTTTGTCTTATGTTCCTCTACGAAGTTTTTATAGGAGCTTTCCTGCTCCCTTGTTGGCATTTACACGGATCTGCTCAGCAAGGGAGAAGCTGGCTGACTACAAGAGAAAATTGAAAAATAAATAAAAAAATAAAAAAATGAAAGGGAATTTAACTTCCCAAATGTTTTCAGCTACATTGATTGTAGGCATTACTGTAATCATATTCAGGCATTTTTTTTCAGATGGAAACATAGGTTGAATACTGATATTCCAGCACTAGTAAAAGTTTATTTAACAAAGCTTGCCTTACCTGCAGGTTTCACTACACTATTTTACCAGCGCTCAGTCATGATGTGCTCCTAACAAGTACATATACCTATATACTTTGGGCCTTTTTGGGGGGAGAACTACCTCAAATTAAACTCTAGGTGAGAGGTAGGAAGGGGAGAAGAACAAAAGTAGGAGCCCATAAACCAAAATGCTGGATCCAAACACCTAAATCTGTGATGAAATCTAGCTCTGGCTCTGCATTGTATGAAATGGGTATGTCTGTGGCTGAAAAAGGAGGGACAGTCAAAACCAAGAGATGCCAAAGAATGGGTCAGGGCCTTTAGAGACACAATAGTACATATCTTTAAGTGAGGTTGAAAGGTACAGAAAAAGAAAATGTGGGAAGAAAGGAGAAAAAAAAGAAAAGGAAATTAATCCCTTGGGCTCTCCCATTAAAATGTATTTTCCATTCAGTTAACCTGGACATTTTGTGGAATACAGGTAAGCAACAGACTGCTTGAAACAATAGATCTGTGGAAAGAGTAGATTCCCACTGAGTTAAGAGGTGACGTTTACCAAAAAGAGAAGATCTTTAAAGAAGTTATTCTTTAGGAAATGAATGCAGCTTGCACAATGAAACTAAATAGAGGGTGGATGCACAGAGCCTAGAAGTGCAAAATGAAATAAAACTTTTTAAAATTTATAACTATAGCAACGACCATTAATAAACTACTCTTCTGCAAGTTCTGCAGAGGAGAATCTTGTCCCAAGAGGAGATTCACTATAAACATCACTGAGATTTACATTGTAATGAAGTTAAATAATTTTTAAAGAGCTGGCTGCTTTATGATTCAAACCTTGGACAGGAGAGTTTCAGTTATCTGATCTACGTTATCTCTGGCACTGCTCTGTTATGCCCTCAGGGAAGATGGTAGGGAGTGGAACTTATTATGCCTGAAATTTGAATTTTCATTATCCTCTAATGTAGGTGAAAACATGAGAAAGGTGAACCTTCATCTTAGAGATGCTAAGGTCCAAGAGGTATCACACATTTCAGGAGGAGCTGAGTGTATTTAATGCCTTTTAAAAAAAGTCAGCCCCTACTGGATTGAAGATAGGCACCCAAAAACAAAGCATGAAAAAAATTCCACATTATTATTGTTCATTCATGTTGCTATCAACTCCACCCTGGTTGCCTGACTTTGAATACACAGGTTTTCAGGAGCCCAGAAGATCTCAACCCCACTGAAACTGAATGGGATTTGGACTTTAACTCCTTTGAACATCTCTGAAGAGTCCAGACCTGAAAGGTGAATGGATAACTGTTTTGCCCTTTTCTATCACCTGACATTAGCATCAGCCACCAAGTACAAGCTGTTCCTTAGGACCTATCCATGACAATGGCAGAGTACTCTAGTGAAGTATCATGACAGGTTTCCTCAGAATCAAGGGATTGTTCTGGATGACATCCTCAGATGTCCAGTCCAAATTTCTGCTCCAGACAGGGTCAGCTAGAAGAAGAGACCAGGTTTTATCCAACTGGCTCAGAAAGGAAGGACAGATTATCACCTCTGGGCAATCTGTTCCACTGCCTCATTGTACTCATGGTGACTTAGTTTTTCCGTATATCCAGTCCAAACATTTTCTTTCAATTTATGACTGTTGTCTCTCATAATGCATTACTATGAAGTGCCTGGCTCCATCTTCTTGACAAACCTCCTTGTAGGTATCGGAAGGCTGCTGCTGGGTCACCTATAAGTCTTCTCAAGGCTAAATGCTTCTTGCTTTCTTCCTGAGGTACCCACTTTAAGCCACTGTTGGAGGCAGCACACTCACACGTAGCCTATATAGGAACTTTTGGTAGGACCCAGAATGCATTTTCTTATGCTTGTCACTACAACTACTACTGGAATCTAGTTCTATTTTACTACCAGGGCTGACAAAAATACAGAGTGACAAACTTAGCAGAGGTTATTCATCGATGCATAGCTTGATTAACCTGCCTGTCATACTCTCTTCTCCCAAGTCATAAGGGACACTGTTAATACAACAGGAACCCATTGCATGAGTCATTTTCTCTAGACTTCTAGGAGATAAGGTCTTGCATAATATATATATCAAGATTTGTGAAAGGCAATCTTTCATCATACAGTCTAAGCCCATTTATCAGACTTCATTTCACCCACAAATCAAAGCAAAGGTTCTTGATTGAAAATGTTTTTCATAGAAGACTTTTTTCAGACTCCACCTGTCAGCAGAAGGACCAGAAAAAGTCTGTTCACTACAACATTTCTCAAAAACTTTGCCCAGTTCTATTTGAATGATCAAAGTGCTGAGCCTTTCCTTGAAGGAGCTTCTGAGCAGGCTGTATTAACCAGAGCAGATCACTGCTGCATTTTACTAGTGCATTCTTTCCTTTGAATATCTACGGGCACCTTCTCAGGGGAAAACTTAAAGGCCAGAAGCATGCTGTGATTACAAACAGCAATTTAATACAACATCAGCTTGCTGCCAGGAGGAACTTTCTTTTGATATAAACAAGAGATAGTCAGCATGGTTTCAGTCTCCTCTGTTTATTTGAGACTTTTTTTTTCTTTTTCGCTCTGAGGGCCTTGCTTTGTTTCTTAAAGTTCACAAGAAGATTCTTACAAACCTACGATCACTGAATGGAAGTGACAGCACTACAGCATCTTGCCATTAAATTAACTTATTTTAGCAACACACCCCCCCCAACTCCATCACCTGTTTTTACAAGAAAGTAGGAGGTATTGGCGCACCACCTACTCCGGCTCAGTAGCCTCCATTTCTGTCTTTGATCCAGTTCTTTAAAAAAAAAAAGTGTGAAGTACAGCAGTTCAGTATGAAAATGCATAGGCTTTCTCTCACTGCCTTAAGGTCCAGTTTCAGGTGGGTCACTGGGACTTCAGCCTACAGCCTGACTATTACGGTGGTGGGTTTAAACCTGCAGAAAACATGCACTATTTCTAAGCAATAAGCAAGATCTAAGCAGCTGCTAATAGGCCCATTCACTACCCAAAGACCACTATCCCCACTGCTATTTATGTTTGTATGTGTAAAAGGCTTGAACCCTCTGTGATGACAACCATTTTATCCTTGTTTCAAGGATTCCAACGCACTAAAGTCTGATATTCCCTCTCTAAAATAACACAATCGCAAGATTAGCCCATTTCAGAAGGAGACTGCCTTGGTGGGCTGTGAACTAAGTGGGCCCAGGACACTGACTTAATTTACTTAAATAGTATGTGCGTCAATGAAAGTAATTGCTAAATAAAGAAACCTCCCAGCAATTTTCTTCCAAGTCAAGATTCACAAGCTGTGGTTTAGCACTACCCTCCCTTTTGTGAAGCTGCAACGTGTTGCAGAGGTTATGAAACTCCCAGCGTTGGTATCATGAGGGTGGAGAGAGCGAGGGGGTAAGGTCAGTCTAAAGGAAGTTGCCGTCTCTGACTCAATGCACATTTTTTTTTTTGTCATGACACCTTTTCCTCCAAGGTTACCCCAGGAATCTGGTCAACTGGTGTTATTGTTGGATTCCAGGGAAGAGGGGAGGATGTAAAAGGATTAGGAAAAATGCCTGAGGTCCCAAGGGCACTGTGAAATTTGGATAACTTATGAGATTCACTGGCTTTTCTGCTTTGCAGGATAAAGAAAGCATTCGAGTCATATATCCTAGGAAAAAAAGGGGTTTTTTTGTAATTATTGGAGTGGTTCTCTTTTTTTTTTTTTTTTTTAAGGGATGATCTTACCTTCTCCATCGAAAATAGGCTGGGTTTCCATGGTAGGCGTCGGCTTCGAACCGTCATCTGAATTGAGAGTTAAAAAGAATCGAAAAGAAACTACCATTATTGAGGTAAATACTATCTACTCTCCAGTACTGTTGAATGATTGGGATTTGTACATGGCCCGGCCAAGTCCAGAAGAGAGAGAAGATAGACAGAACGAAAACAAATTATTCCATTTACACTTAGAGCAGTCACATTTTACACAGCATGCATGCATCAGCCACTACCCCTAGACTTAAGAGAAGCCTCCCCTCCTCCCCTCTCCCTCTGCAGACCACTGGCATCACCTGGGAGTCTGCCCTTGTTGCACTCATCAGGCAATTGCCACCTTAGTTTCAGGTGGCTACAGATCCCCAGAGGACATCTCCCAAGATAGCAGAGGTCTGGGGATTGCTGTCCCACTGTGTCTTTCTCCTTGTTCTTTTTGTTCAAAAGAAACGCTCGTCTTCTGAAACTTACCTGTGCAGAACCTGGCATCAGCATTTCCCGCAAAGCTGTTAGAAAGGGATGGTCAATAGCAAATCTTTTTTCTTTCAGTGGCTGCGTAAAGGTATTCTCTAATTGCAACGCTGTGGCAATGTCTTCTAATTGCAAAATTGTGGAAAAAGAATTTCTATTAGGTTCTTCATGCGCAAGAGCGCTCCAGGTCTTCTGACCACAAGTCTTTCATAATTAAAAGCTTCTTCATCCAAAAGAGATTTCACAGGAAATATAAATCTCAAAATTTAGAGATGGACCACAGGGAAAAGCGTTGAGTTTACACTCTGTTTGGCTTAGTATGCCTGTCCATCATATCTACAGACCCAGCTTCAATTCTGGCTGAGTCTCATTTCCTCAGCACTCAGAGGGATCTGGATGTCACGCCCCAGCTTCGAGCATTTTTACTCAGCACCAGGACAGTGGCATAGCATTAAGTGAGGCAAAAACCTTCAACTGTGGGCAAGCTCAGCTGGAACAAACTGTAGAGGAAAACATTTTGTTATATGCCAAGATACGTATGTAGAACATTGCTGGGAAGTAAACTAAGATGAGATTAGCCTAGAGTTGCTTATTTATTTATTTTATTCTCTTTGGAATACAGTGGCTTTAAAACTTACAATTTGTAACAACTATTTTTGCATATATCACAGACAAAGATGACACTAGGCATCAGCAAAGCTGGCAATAACGTAAAATGGAAAGTTGCACAGCAAAAATCAGCTGGAGAGAGAAGTCTGTGCCAGAAGAGCCAGGCTTGCCACCATCTCCACAACTGTATCAGCTGCAGAGCGCAGAAGGCATTGGGAAGAAAGATGCATGGGACAGCCTCTCCCAGAAGTAGCAATTAAACCATCCTCAGTCTTCCCTTATATTGGTTCCAGTTAACAAAAATGACCATTGGAAGGGGAAGGGAAAGTCAGAGATGGAAAAGAGAGGCTTGTAAACTATTTTTCCACCAATACCTGTATATTTGCAGTTTTATAAAGTGAGCAAAAGCCTGACCTCTTCCAGAGACCATTAATTTTATGCATGTCCACAGAAAGCAATCTAATTCACAGAATGAAAAAATGTGCTGGTAAGTTCATTTCAACCTCAGAGAGCCACGGAAGTAAAGGAGGTTGACAGAAACAAGCAAAAGATCCTGTTCACATTTTCCCTCTTGATCAATGTATTTGTTTTTATGCTTAATTATAAGCATAGAGAGAAATATTTGGAAGAAAAAAAATACTTGCCATTCCTCAGCCAGCTCATGTTCTGAGTTTTCCTGTTACTGGGTGTTACCAGTAATATGGATAAGCAGTATTTTTTTTAAGAGTTTGAGCAACTGATTTTGCTTAATTTACAAGAAGGAAGATTTTGCCCTTTAAAGAAATCTCTGAGTAAAAGTAAACAGCTGATCTTTAGTTTTTGTCAAAATAGGCTGCTCTGCTTCTACAAGATCCCAGAAACCACAGCTGTGACATTTTACTTATTTAGGATGACACTTCATGCTGCAATGAAGCAGTGAGCAGTATGTAGTTAGCATGATTTGCTTTACAGATTGAGAAACCAACCCAAACCTCCAAAAGATACTCATAGGAAAAATGGAAAGGTGAATAATTCTTATGTTCTATGAAACAGGAAGAGATCTGGCATAAAAAAAAAAATACTGGCATGATAAGTTTATTCCTATTGTTTTCATGAATGCTTCTGCACCAAGTAATTACAGAATTGCTTTTCAGATTGAAAGCAGCAACCCAGAAGCCAACAATGGAGAAAAATTAGAAATGGATCTGAGCCACAACACTGTTTATACAAACCATTATGTGAACTTTGGCAGAACTTGGGATGCTTCAGGTTCAGGGGGTTTCTTTTTGGCGTGTGTGTGTGTGTGTGTGTGTGTAGAACAGAGACAGTAGCAATTACAATTCAGGAAATACGTTCTTGTTAAAGAGCATTTTGTAGCAGTTTTTGTGTAAAATTAGCCATTAAGCTACTGAAGGGTATTAAACAGTGACAGAAGAAATGCAGCAAATAAACAAAAATACCAAACTAACCTTTGAACTGTGTGTTGTTTTTAAGATCATCTCAGTAAAATGGCTGTGAACTGCACAATCATTTCCTCACTTAGTTTCTAAGGCCAAATTGTCAAAAAGTCCACATTGTAGCAGAACCCAGTACAGTGTTAAGTTTTTAGCAAACAGAGGAAAGTATAATTACTCCCCTGTTGTTCAAGCAAGTATAGTTCTTTCATCACACATGCAAGAAAAAAAAATGCAATAGACAAGAGCCCTGTAATTACATTCACCGTATTTCAAAAATCAAAAGCAGGGATATTTCTGATTATTTTTTTTAAACGTCATGAAATAGTCACATAAAAGACAAAAAATTGCACTTATTAAAAACACCATGCTCACTTCCCAGCCGCCAGCTTCTTACTCTGAAACTACCAAAGCTATTTCTTAAACTGGAGAATTCTCAGTAGGTCTCAATGTTTTAAATTAGCTTATGGCAAAGAGCTTCACTGTCATTCCCTTTGGGCAGAAAAACAACCCTAATACTTGTCTGCTCTCATTTGATTTTTCCTCTCGCTCAATACACCGTTCATCACACTGAACATTTGTTCCACTGGCCTGTTTCCTCCTGGTAAACAAGAAGTAAGTTCTATTTTACATACCTGAAAGTTTTGAACAAACATTTTGTATTCCTTAAAGAAGCATTTTAACATCAAACAGAAAAACCAAGCTATTTCAGAGACCTGAGGTCTCCTGTGATATCATACAAGACATACAGGATACTGTTACTTTGGAGCCAAAGGTCATTGAAATATGTTCATGAAGTATGATCTGTTCCTTTCTTCAAAAAGCTATTAAATTCCACACTTTCAAAAAAGGCATGTAACTGCAATAGTTGCTCATGCAGAGCATGTCACAGAGTGATCAAAGAGGTCACGTAAAGGCTTCCTAATCCCTCTAGATGGCAACGCTTCCAGATGAGGAACTCACCTACTGGAGAACCATCAAATTCCCCTAGGTTGCAGAACACTTGATGAAGAATGCATTGGCATGGAAGCTTCTCTTCCATGTTTTACAACCCAGCATGAACACCCACTTTATTTTTCCAAGATACCTACTGAATACAGACAGCGTACCTTTGATGGGACATAGCTTTAAAGCCATAAAACTCCTTTCCACTAAGTCTCCTACACCTGCAAAAGTTGAACTGATTTTTCCGGCTGAACTGGTGTCAATTTAAAAATAGTATTTTTATCTTATCACTGGTAAGAGTGAAACAGAAGATCCATATAACTCACTCTAAGCCATTTTCACACTAAGATACCATGGCTATAAGCCAGTAGCCCACTTGCACTGTCAGAGGCTCGCAAGCTTAACAGTTTTTGTTGTGTGAGTCTGACAATAAGTCAGATCTGCTGCTCATGGTGGGAAAGTACTCTTTACACTCCCACTACGCCTTCCCTCCCGTACCCTTACATCCACATTTGGAATGACTGCAGTGTACACTGGCGTTGAGAGAGAAGAAGATTCAGTTCATGCTAAAAACAACTGTTAAAATGATCTTTTTACTCTGAACAACAGGCACTGAAGCCACAAGCAACTCGAGTTATGTCTGGGGAAAAGTAAACTCCCTGACATAGAAAAAACATAACTTACTATGGAAAAATGTGAAGTAACTGCCTGCTGCTGTGAATCACTGCTCTTGCCTCCAGCCACCTAATGGAAGCTGAAGAAAGGGGAAAGTTAGGTGACAGAATTAACCTTCCGTATCACATTTCCTTACCCAAGAAAATACACCCACTGCAAAAGTCACCTGTATACTTGCATCATCACATTAAGAGATTAAGATCTATACTCCTCCTAAGCAACCTCAACTTCAGAACATTGCTTTTCTGTTATCACTGGAATCCATGAGACAATCTGTAAATATTTCTACCATTTTCAAGAGTGCTAGTGTTTATGGGATCAACCTTTCAGGCCTTGTACAAAATCTAGTCTTTTTTGTAAGTCTACAGCTTGAACATCAAGGGTTTCCAGACTTTGAGTCAGCCTGATAGAATTAGAGGATGACAATTTTAAGTGCATAGCTCTGCCCTGGGAGGAGGCAGCCTTTCTCCAGTGTCAAGTGGTTCCTTCACTTACCATCATTTGGTTTTGAGTGAGCCATTACGGAGCACAGCTGAAGCTAAACAGGCAACTTTGAGCACAGAGAGCCAGGGCAATGAGTAAATTCTTAGCATGTCTTGTTCTATGTTGCAAAGCCCACCTTTAGTGAGTCTCACAAACCAACAGGAAAGGAGAAGAGCTTTCCTAGACTTAAGCATTCCTGAGGGACTTCACTCATATGTACACCCTTCTGTGCCTTTAGTAACTCTGGTCAGATGCCAAGACCTGCCAGGTTAACTCAAGCTCCCTGTATCTGTGCCATTTCTGAATCTTCAAGATGCAATTTTACTTCTTTGACATTTCTATGTATTACAACCACGGTTGGGGGTGTTGTTTTAAGTATTAAAAAAACCCCAACAAAACCTGTGTTCACACTACATGGGGTCTTACACAAAAACACATGTCCCTTCCAAT